TATATATATATATATATATTTTTTTTTTACACTGATAACTGATTATTTGAATTCAGCCAGCAGGGGGACTAACGGTCATTACAAGCAGTCCCCCTGCTGGCAATGCAGCAGCCAGCTAACCCGGCCATGTGATTGTGAGGTCCTCCCCACAGACTGGCGTAGATAATTAAATAATTGCAGCAATAGAGGCTGTCAGCTGTGGCACTTAAGGGCGAGTAGTGAAAAACAAACAAACCTGTTTTATAGCTGGGAGGGGACTGTGAACCTAAATAGCTATTTTATCACTATAGTGTCAGAAATGCATGTTTGTGTTCCTTTAAACACTCATGTTACTTTAAACTGCAATCTCAGATTTAGAAAATCTTGAAGACCCCAAGCATTGTAATAATTTTCTGACAATTTCTCAGACAACCACCTATTTTAATGCCTTTAGGTAGTTCACATGTGAAAGAACGATCAAGTAAGACTCATTCACTGCTGCACATCATTAAGGAATTAATGTAAATTGGACCTAGAAACCCTAATGACAAATCATTGTTAATTTCAATAGTAAAATTAACATGCAATATTGAATAAGGAATTCAGATCACAGAAGCTGGCACTACAGTTAATACTAAGAACAAAATATTTTTTTTTTAACGAAACTTTAATCCCAGAAAAAAAAAAAAGAAAAAAACAGTTCACAAGGTTAAAAAGATGTCACACGTGAAAAGATGAAAAAAGGCTACATTTACAGCTTTACATTTCAGTTCTGCACTGTAAAAAACAAAAAACAACAAGCCCTGTAAAGGTGCACTAAAACTTTGTAACTTTATAAAAAGGGGTTCCAAATTGCCAAGCAATGAGCTGGATTTACATTTTGACAAGTTAAGGAAGATTCTGCTGTGGGAATCTATACAAATTTGCACAATTAATTGCATTTCATCAACATCTTTCATAAATACCTTTACAGAGAAGGCCCAACAAAAGCAACAAGTGTGTTACAAAATGCAACATTGAACAAGTTGTTGGTCACAACATTTTGACTGACAGGAGCAATTTACTGCAAATGTAAACCTGTCAATTTTGGTAAGATTACAATTTGTTCAAGAGCAAGACAGAAGGGAAGAAATATCCTTAACCGTAAAGTAAATAAGGTTTATTATTCAGCTTATTTGCCCTGAACCATATAGAGAATCACATTGCTCCATCACTAGTTACAAGACACAAAACATCTAAAAAATAAAAATCTTAAAAAGCAGGAGGAACAAAAAAAAAAAAAATCTTCCAATGTCACGTCTGTACACTGATGAAGGCAGACTTATTTCCTTTCATTTGACCTAGAGCGACTGGATGAGAAAAAAAAAGTTTCAATTGAATAAATAGAACTGGATGAACCCCTCCCCATTTGGCATACAAATTAGAGATGTTATTTTAACAGTTCAAGCTTTAGTAAATAACCCTGTCAAGAGTGCATTTTGTGGAATGTAACCAGGCAAATATATTAATAAACCTCAAAGTGAGACTAGAAAACCAAATCCTTCGTATGTATAAGCCGTTTTCAATGTTGCCAGTATAACTAAATACAACATTAACAATATTTGTAAGTTATGCACTAGCATTTACCACCAACTCCTTGCATGGATCACCCACAATGCAATTTGTGTATCCTTGACCAGATATGGATATGAGCACTGACATAAGGTAGCATCTAGATTTCTGATGCAACAGGGTTACTATTAGAGACAATTAGTTTTATCTAGGGACAGCATTATTAGATATTTTATTTAAAAGGTTTGTATTTTTACTTTACTTTAACACATGCAAAGACATAGAACACAAATGCAAAAAATACCTTCTTGATCTAGAAAAGGACCGAGATGGCTTGTGATTCCTCTCCCTGGAGATTGATCGTTCCCTCCTTCGTTCCCTGGAGAGTGACCTGAAAAGGATGAAGATCATAAATTCAAGTTTACACATTAAACATTTAATTTAAACTGAATTTAAAAATAACTGTACACAATCACTCAGCAGTCCTTACATACAGTTAGCAAGACGTGTCTTTGTTCCCATAACACTAAAAATGAAACCAACCACTTGATATACAGGGTATTGCAAATATCAGCCAGCACAAGATTTTATATCAACTGATGCCAGTCTTTAAGAGACTGAAAACCAACAGAAAAGACATCCTTTATAATGGAGGGGAAGTTACAACAACCAAATCTGCTGCAATATTTCTTTCCATGCAAGTCAAACCTATAATAGTTGCAGAGGTGGAAAAGGTTGAGAGAGACATGTTTGCAGATTGTAAAGTAAGCCAATGTAAGAATATGAAACTAAAGCTTGCCAAGTGGTCAAATGTTACTGGAACTATGAAAATCCATAAGTGTTTATGCAAGCCTCTTTACAAAAAGTCGCATCAATACTACACACAGTTTCTGTAGTCACAACTCGCTGTTACAAAATGATGAATGCAAATTGTATGATCTCACTCCTACCAAATGCTTAAGGACAGTCATAAGATTTATGACTAAATTAGCTAGCTTCCTGCTACTTTCACACAAAATTCACTCCAAAAGACACCATTCTTCAAAATGAATGCCTAACTTTTACACATGCTTATATACTATGATAGAACTTGGGCAGTTAAAGGGCTACAGCTGTAACTCTACTGCATCTTGCAAACCCTCACCCACTTGCTGCCTGTACAGCAGACTGGTTAAAGTGGCTGCAACAAAACAGCTGGAGGATCACATTGGACTACCTCTGTGCTAAAACAGACAATTTCACTCAGATGTAATACCACCAGACAACCTTACCTGCTGCGGCTACGAGAAAAGCTCCTTCTCCGTGGAGATCTATAACAAACAAACAAAACAAAAACAAAACAGGCATTTCAGCCTTGCTACCAAAGAATCCCACCATTTGATCACTATGGGACCATGGAGTTTGTACCTATGTAAAATACAGACTGGTACAACACTAGCACCTAGATGTACAGGGGGGAATAAAGACTTAAGATGAAAATTGAACCCCAGCAGGAATTCACTTTGGCTAGACTCCCTACTTGGCACCTGAGAACTGTGATTTGCCTCCATTACCCTTAACACCACTTGTGAAAGACTGGCTTTAAGAAATCTTTATGTCATGCAAGCCTAATGGCCATTATAGATGTATACAGTGAGGTACAAGTCAACATCCCACCCGTCATTCTTTCAATTAGGAGGAAAAATATCCTTTACCCAGAAGACATTTTGGTTAGTATGGGAAAGAACACATTTAAAGATGATAGATATTTCACATGAAAAAGTAGTAGGCAACAAAGAAAGCAACTTTTCTACAGCTTGTATGTATGGCCAAGGCTCAAACAAAAAGATTTCTCTATCACCCTTAAAAGTCTTTATAGTTCAAGCAATGTCAGTTACCTTTTTTTGATTATGCACAGCCAGCCTTTGATTAGAATAGAGAAAAATAAAGTATGACTTATAAAGCTGCTTTAGTCTCACTTTAAACCAGCAGTAAACTCTGTATAAGCAGGAAAAAACTTACTAGTTTTTGGGATTTCAACAAGCTAGAAATGGTGAGGATGCCGGACAGGTGGCCAAGTAGAATTTGTTGAAAAGGTTTTGCCAGGTGTTGCGTTGAATTTAGATGGTTTGCGAAGGGGGTGTTGTGGATTTTTCCTGCTTTTTTTGGTTAGCCGAAGGCTGGTGCTGCAGTTGTTGTGAAGACATTTTGTCAAAGTTAACAGCCGTGCAGATAGGCCGGGAATGTGTGGGCGCTGAAGGAGGGCTGCTGCCGAGTTTTGGTTAAGGTTGGAGAGGAGGAAGGCTGAGTGGACAGCATGCTCGGAAACCAAAAGGCGGTGCAACCTGATGACTGGCCATGCCTGGGTCATGTGATACGACACCAGCCAAGCTGAATGGGGCGCGCTGGTCACATGACGCTGAAAGGGCTAGTTGACTGGCTAATGTAGACCCAGAGGGTGGTGAGAAGAGACATGATGGTGACTCTGTAACAGGTTTCATTTTTATTAGATGGACCAAAGGCACACAGAAAAAAAAAAATTAAATAAAATAAAACAAGCCATCAGTACAACCATTTCTAACAGTACCTTGATGGGCTAAAGAATGGGAAACAATGCATTGTGGGTAGGACCAGAGTTACTGCCTATCAAATTTCTAACTGGCCCTAACCAAAAAAGGGTCTGATGGACATCATGCATTTCAACTAGAAAATTGAAACTAATACATGGGAGCCATTGTTTGTGTAGTACCTGTAGCCAAAAGGCCAGGAATCAATCTAAAAAAGGACTACCTAATTGAAAGTAAGCTATAAAAACTTCAAAACTAAAAAACCATCACACCACAGTTTACCAGTCAGAGGCAGTGGCTAGTTCCTCTTATATTAAGACCGGGTTAAAAAGATTTAATTTGACACTAGTAAGCACAAATTCACCACATAGGACTTAAATTTTAAGCACTGATTAAGGCACAAGTGTGTTATGCAACAGTGCAAATTTCCAGCCCTGCGTAGTTATAAGCAACATTAAGGAGAGGGAAAAACCAAAAACTACACAAACTCTACTCCCGGCATACTGACTACATAATTAGAACATGACAAAAGTCATACATCAACAATAATGTTAACAGTCATTACTTTGAAGTACTATAGGTGTAACTGATCAATGGGAAACTTAACTAGATTCTCCTCTTTGGATAGAGTCAAAGTCACTCTGCAGAAATAGTAAATGGATCACTCAAATTGCATTAGTTAGGAACTTATGTAACTGTAGCTAATACTAAAAGAAATAAAAATGCATGGCAAGGCATTAAGTGCTCTATTAAAAGAGGCCATTTCCTTCAGTTCCAAACAGTGTAGTTCTGCTTTTCATGAAGGTCAGATTTAAGGATACAACAAGCACTGTTGGTTGCATTAGATATAGCATCAACAAAGCAAATGATAGTCAAATGTAAGTTAGTTTTACAAGAAATGGGAAGTTACCATAGTTTACCAACATCCCATTGTCTAAAGTCTAAGAAAAACTAGTGATGTTTTAATACAGGCATATACACTATGATCTAGCAGTATGCATTTGTAATTAGCAAACAGCTGTGAGTAATTCTGCTGATAAAGACCATGAAACTACTCAACCTTAAAAACCTGCATGTTTTACTGAAGAAATAGTCTGTTCTCTGTATTATACAACATTCTCATAAAGCTCTAACTTAGAGATTTGAGATATGCAGAGTGAATTTAAAGAGAAAAATAAAAAAAGTCAGAAATAGCCTAGTAATATCGGCCATTCCATTGCTGTCCAGCCACAATTTTCTCTCGACATTAAGGACATTCAGGCAAGTTTGAAAGCATTATCTTCATAATGCTTTAAAATGGAGGATCAACTTCAGCCTTACAGCTCATTTAAACAAAGTGCCTTTTTAAAAAGATATTCAATTATACCTAAATTCACTCATGCTGTAAACAAAGTTATCATAGAAAGCAAAGGAATAAACTCATACATCTCACTAGAGTGACTATCCAACCCCTTTTCTTAGTGTCAAAACGTGTGCATTTGGGGTGCAAGTACCTTTGCCACCTCTGCAGCTTACTTGAGCAATTAAACTAGGAAGAAAATAAAAATTCTAAAGTTATATTTCTCAGGTGGTAGTCTGAACATCTGAATGCCAATGAGATAATAGGAGATCTACTATTTTTTTTTTTTTTTTTTAGTGTTGTAGGACAGATTAAATAGGAGTCTAAAACCTTACTTGCAAGTCAAATATAGATTTGTTAAAACTAAACCACCTCCAAAACACAGGGAAGTCATAGTGGTGTGATGGCAAAAGATTTCACACAATTTTATAAATAAAATAAAGTGATGGGAACAATCCCAAAACACAGTACCACATTGAAAATCATACCTGCGTCTAGCTGGTGGACTTCTCCTTCTATAATCATCCCGAGGTCTCCTATTCCATGATGGAGGAGGCCCGCGATTCCTACTTCGTTTCTCTCCATTTGATAACTCTACTCTGACACGACAGCCACATAAAGTCCTGCAAGGAAACAGAAAGCAGTATATTTTTTACATTTATTTTGCAAAGGACAAGTGAGGGGTGGGACTGGCAGCCCCACTCTCTCTCTCTCCCCCCCCAAATTAAGAACTACGGAATATTTTTGTACATTTATAGAAATAAGCAAATGGTAAAGTATTCCTTTTAAAATAGAATGAACATTTGAAATAAGGTAAAAATTTACCTTCCATCTAGCTCTCTTACAGCATCAGCTGCATCTCTGGGATCTTCAAACTCCACAAAAGCAAAACCTGGGGGGTTCCTAGCAACCCACACACTACGCAGTGGTCCGTAATAACCAAATGCACGCTCTAATTCTGTTTTGTTGCCATTGTTGCCAAGGTTTCCAACGTAGACTTTACAGTCCAGCGGACAAGAGTCACGATGCATGCCTGAGAAAAGAAAAATATTAATCACATTTCACATATTAAACAATTAAAAAAAGACCAACAGTTAGAAGATGCCATGACTAAGTTTGTAGATATTGTTAATGCCACCCAATAAATTGATACAGTATTAAAAAATTTAAAACAAAGCGCTTGCAATAAGACCACCAAGACATGATTTACAGACAGGCACTAATTGAGAGCTCCAATATATGGAGTACAGTATATTTGAAACATTTAGATTACTTGCGCATAAATTTTTTATTTAAACCCAATGAGATGTCACGGTAACACAGGCGAACCAATGCTGGCCAACACCATACAGTTTTTAGAGGGATGCTCCAACCACCACTTCAGCTTTTAGATGTCATGGTGATCGGGATCTACATCTGCAGCATCGCTACTTAAGCATAACATGCAGATTTGTGCCTTGAGCTAGGTGCACCCTCTGCACAAGCCATTTATTCAGGCCAATTCTGTGCTTCCTATGTGAAGTTTGTGTCTATCCTTGCAGGCACCAAGTCCCATTCCTCAATTTAGAACATTGATTCCTCCCCATATATCAGAAGTCTCCCATATCAATAACCAACTGCTACCAGCTGTATGTAATGTGAGCATATCTCTGCAAATTTGTCAATGAGACCAGGGTCAACACATCTCTGCTCAATGGTGAATAAACGATTAAGCAGTGATTCTGCTTGTGCCAATAGTGCCTTTTCAATGCTTCTCATTGAGAAGCACATGAACAGGCAACAATTAGAGATTGCCACAAAGGTTCCCAATGCTTCTCTACCAAAACAGATCACATTCACTGAAAGTAGAGCGGCTGTGGATAGGAGACTTACCCCAAAATGAAATAGGATGCATGTTTTATACAGAGGTTTGTATTTATATTGTATTTAATGTCAAACTATAATCTCCCTTTATATATAGAAGCCTCAAATTTAAGTAGGATATTTTAACACTCGGAAGGGAAAGACTAAAAAATACCAATGTTATACACGAGATGTACACATTCAGGGGGAATAGAGTTTAGCTCTAAAACGGCACAAGGATTAGATGATGTACACACAATATCGCAAATTGTAGCTGGTTAACTGTATTTACAAAAGGAATAGTTATTCTACAGATTTTACGATATGCACATAATTATTCTCGGATGGCCTGTATTAGACAATCTAAATTAGATAATGTGTAGGAAAAAAATATATAGTTAATCCTAGGGCTATCTTATAATTTAACCTAACAGTACAATCCTACTGTATCCATCACTAAACACTGCATTAAAGCGAATTAAAAACATAAAAATCGCAAGACCACGAGCCAAGTCAGGACCATAGCCGTGCTGGATATTTTTCCCAGTCAGCCATTTTTTGGCCAAGTTGGAGCAATTGTGATATTAATTGGTAACATTTTAGTGCTTAATACATCAATATTGCCCACGGCCAGCTCCCATCGCTCACAATCCGGACATCACGCCGATAAACACGGTGTGCATCTGGCAGCTGGCCGCCCTCCACCTGGGTGATGAGAGGCCATTATGCATTGCCTTTCCCGCTCACGAATGGAAACACAAAATGGCGGCGCATCATCCCTTTGTTTCATTCCCCACAGTGAAACACGCAGGTAACCTGTAAACCAACCTCCACGCTCAGACATCAGAACTGGATAAATAAGCCAAAGCAGCTTCTCACCGCACTTGGTTATTACCGATGGTAACGGGACGCTGGCTCGGGGAAAAAAAGGGTGCGCTTCTCGGATGGTCCACTCACGCGTCCAACCCCTCCGATGTACCAGCACAAAATGGCTCTCAGGCCGTCTGCGGGCCACGCCTCGTTCACATTACAGCTCGCCTGCCGCATCGCCAGCCAATCACCGTCAAGGTAAGATGAGCCTTCATAAGTCACGCCCACTCTCGAACCATTTAAGGGGCGGTGGCACGAAGCACGTTCAGCCATCTTTTGTTTGGGATGGAGTTTTTCATGTGCTGATTAGAATTAATAAATAAATAGGGCTTTACTGCTATTGTTTATTTGAAATATTGAGACTCCAATTCAGTGTCGCCTCCCTTTTTAAATTGTTAATATTAAATACCCCAGTACTTGGACAATGAGGGTGGGAAGGGGGATGACTAACAATTTAGAGTAAATTACACACGTTTTGTGTCACTATTCCTCTAGGGCCCTTAACCCCTGTTCCTGTGTCCAACTGGTGTGGTTACAAATACGTGTCTGTTTGTCCACCTATTGTACAGCACTGCGGAATTTGTTGATGCTTTAGAAATAATAATAATATATAACATACCGTAGAATATCCAATATATTTTTCAACATATTGTAGTTGGATATGTATTGACACAAAGTGGGATTCATGGCAATTCAGTGTTATTCATATCCTGCTAACCAATACTAATATTTTGGACAGATAATGAAGATGTAAAACCTCATTATAACAGCATCTGTAGGGGATTGCGTTTGATCTCTCTATTGTACATGCATCAGTTCTTGGCAATTTTGAATAAGATGTAATACATTTAGTATAAATTCAAATGCTGGGGTTTTCCTGTTGACATCAGCAATCTTACACTGTACTGCCACATATTTTTTTACAATGACATTTATTCAGCCATTCAAAATATGACTGTACAACATTGCAACCCACAAAGGGTCATTGTCAAGGCTGCACTTTTATTTTTTGGCTACTGTAAATAACATATATGCAGGGCCATCATTAATATGGATTGGACTCTGGGCAAGCATTTGCTTGGACCCTCTGGACCAAGCACCACCCCCCCTGCCCCCCCTGCAGCATGCAATCACACTCTCCACCTAAACCCAGTGGCAGAACTAATGTAGAGAGGGCCCTGGTGCAAGAAAAATTATTGCCCCCCCAGCTAAAATATAGATCCACATCTGTCATTTGTCTCCCACAATTCTATGCCAGTTGGGGGTCTATTATTTGCCCATCCTTGCAGGCAGAGGCATAAATATAAATCTGCCCTGGGCCGGTGCTGCTGTGTCCCCTGGAGTGACGGGACAGGTCTCAGCGGCGACCTCCGCAACAGTGGTAGGTACACCACTGCTTGCAGAGCTGTATTTGTGCAGTGTTTGTGCGTTTGAATGTAAGTATGTTTTTGTATAGAGTATGTGTATGCATGTAGGGGTGTATTTGTAGACTGTTACCATTGGAATGCAGTGGTGTACTTGTGTGTAGTGTTGGCTTTTAAATGCAGGTGTGCTTTTGTGTTAAGAGTTGGTGTTTGTATATAATTTTAGAGTTTTAATACAGGCGTGTGTTTGTATGTAATATTGCATTTGCATGCAGGGGTGTGTTTGCATATAGTGTTGTCTTTTAAATGCAGATGTACATTTGTGTGTAGTATTGATTTGAATTCAGGGGTGTGTTTGTATGTAATGTTTGTGTTTGCAGGGGTGTGTTTGCATGTTGTGTTTGATGGCTGGGATGTATGCACATACATACTTACACAGATATACATACACAGATGCACACAAATACACACATATAAACACACTGACACATGCACACACATTGCTATATATACACAATTTGATACACACACTGACACACTGATACACACACTGGCACATATACACACATTCAAATACACACATTAGCACACACATAGATACACACACTAATACACAGAAACGCATACTTGCACACACACCGATACACACACTGGCACATCCACACACACAGATACACACACTGACAAAGAGATACACACAATGACACACATACACATATACACTCAATGACACACAAATATACACACTAACATGCACACACAGATACACATACAGATACACACATGTCGTAATTTATATATTTGCAGCCACCCTCCTGTTAGCAGTTTTGTCTGCAGGAGGGTGACTTGCTCGGGGTGCTGCTGGCTGAGGCTGATGTGTGGGGAGTCTGCAGCAGGTCACTCCTGCCTCTTTTCTCCCCCCCGCTGCCTGTGCTGTGCCATCTTCCTCACTTCCTCTCAGCCTGTCATTATTACAGGGGCCCCGTCACATGTTTTTAAATGGCCGTGGCGCCCGACCGGGCTCCCGTTCAGCAATAAATAGCAGGCTCTAAGTGCATGGGCCACCCAATGGTCCCCTCCAGTGTGCGGGCCACGGTGCAGTGCACCAGTGGTAGTTCCTAAAAGAAATTGTTTTAGGCAGTGAGTCCACAGGGCTACTGCTTTGGGCCGTGCAGGACTAACTAGGCCTGGGGGAGCTGCCAGTTTGCCCGCATTAAAGATGGCTCTGCATGTATGGGTTAGGATCTTGATAAGCCCAGTATTTGTCGGACACCATCAGTTTAAAGACATAGCAAGGGACTCATTACACATCCATATTATATATTGTACATAATACCCCAACTTAAAACGAGAACATTTAACTGTACAATATGGCCGTATCTTGTTTTACCAAAAACTAAAATAACGTTCCCAATGCTAGCTGGTCTTAAAGGAACACTCTAGTATAATTGTTTTGTCTAAATGATGTGGTTATGGTTCCTGGAGTCTCCTGGTGCCAGAGTTTCTTTTAGTTTTAAAATATTGCTGAAGTGTTTAACACAGAAGTATTCAGCAAACAAGAAAGGAATGCACACATCCAGCACAATTCACAGTATCATGAATGGATGTGATTTATTTAAGGACTATCACTTTACATTTTTTCATGCCAGTGATATAGGCACTGTCACTTTAAGTTGTTCTGTGAATTCCGGCACAGTCCTGTGAGAATTAATGTAAGTCTTTGGTATTAAACTACTCAGATTGCTTGATTTCCTTTTTTAACAAAATATTTTTTGTGATCATTTTAGGATGATGTTATTGGTGGTAGACAATTTTTGTTAAATGTATTTATATTGTCACATATTTGGGTATTTTTTCAACATATTTTTACACTTTTCATATTTTATGTTCAAAATGTTCTTGCTTGATCTGCATTTAGGGTCTTTTCCATTTTTTATTCCTCTTTGCACATTTTTTACATTATTGATGGGGCAACCACAAGTGAGTGGAGGAGGGGAGTGTGTTAATTAATGGTTTCTGGTTACAACCTAGAACCAGAAACCATTGCTAGAATAGTTTTCAATGAGGGTTTAGTTTATTTTTTAATGACACAGTTGCAGGAGAGGAAGTGAGGTGTGGGGAGGGAGTTATTAACAGTTTAATTGATATGATTTCCTAATGAAGTATTTAGGGCCATCCGATGGCCACTATATCTTCATGGGCTCGGTCAGCGCTGCGGCTGTGCAAAAGCGCGACCGGTCCCCTTTCAAAAATCGCAGCCGCAAATTAGTGCTGGGAGGAAGTGACGGTCAGCCACTTCCTCCCAGCTCCCTCCGCGCAGAAGGGGAGAGAGACAGGCCGCGAGGATGGAAGAGCCACGCCGACTCCCATCAGACCCAGCCACCCTCCTGCAAAAAAAGGTAAGAATAATGAGCTATGTGTTTGTGTATATGTCAGCATGTATGTATGTATGTCAGTACATGTATGTATGTCTGTCAGTATGTATGTATGTATGTGTGTGTATGTATGTCCTTACCCGTATGTGTGTCTATATGTATGTTAGTATGTGTCTGTGTGTCACTATGTATGTCTGTGTGTCTGTTTCAGTATGTGTGTATCTTTGTGTGTGTATATCTGTGTCCTTTTTGTATCAGTGCGTGTGTTTGTGTGTATTCCTGTGGGCGGGGTTTGAAGGTGGGATTTGGGGGCGGGCTTGGAGGCGGGCCCCCGGGGACCCAGACCTTGAGCAGTGTTAGGGGCCCCAAAATTTCTGATGTCGACCCTGGTTGCACTGTTCTGAAGATTGATATAATGGGGCGAATGCTGATTTCCATTGTATATCTATATGCACAATACACACAGATGCAACATACACATTACGCACATGCAGTGACATACCTTGCCCTACAGATCCTTGTCATACTTCTATTTCTGCCGCCTAGTGCTCCAGCTGTGTACCATACCACAACACAACTTTCTTCCAAATGCCATCATAAAACAGAGCATCTCATCATTCACCAAATAATGGTTCAAGGTTAGTGGTGCAGGGGTTACCTGATTTTTAGTTGTAATATAAGATGTCTTTTAGATATTGGTTTTCAGCCTGCAAGCACAGGCATGACCATACGTTCTCCACGTCTCCAAAACCTTCACCATGAATCAAACCCCTTTACACTTTCCATTTTACAGAAATTACTACCCACTGATGTTATTAGGGTTATTCACTTGAGTAAGGATTCAAAGTTAAATGTTAGATTTAAGGTAAAAGTAGCTGAACTGAAAAACAAATCTTTAATTCAGCTATACCGCCATTTCTGCTGCTTTGCCTCAAATTTGATATTCACTATGAATTCACTTTAAATTCTCACTGTATAACCCTGTATGTCTCAAAACACTATTTGCACACTATGCAGATATACCAACGCTCAAATGAAAACATGAACAAAACTCTCAATACACACAAAAGCAATTGATCGAATGAGTGTTCCATTTTTATTGTATAAATCTTACTTTTTTGTAACTATGGACTTTTTATTCAGTTTTACAGTTTTATTAAATTTTTAGTTACCTAAACACTGTATATATTTTTGTTATGCTTTTTAAAATATGATGAGGTTCACAGCTGAGCAATTGTAATATGCAGCCAACAAAAGCTTTCCTAATACTAACGTATTTCTGCTAAATGGCTTTTGTCATTTCTTTAAAGGGACACTCAAGGCACCAACACAACATTAATGCACATGATATGTTTTGGCCTCATTATTATGTTATATTTTTGTATGGTCAAAATTTAGTTTTTGCACACACATACAAAAAAAAATGTTTTGCAGAATTCTGTTCCATAGCCCCTTATTCCAGCAAAATACTTCCTTATCAGTGTATGCATACAGCTCAGTCACTGACGACACTAAGTGGGCTGAACTACTGGAAGTAAAGCAGCCTGCATTCGATGAAAGAAAAAAGCAGTCAGACAAGTACGTCCCTAAATGTCTCTTGTCTTGTCTCTCTTTCTGCCTGCTGCTTGATTGTGGATTGAATTAAGCAACTTTATTGTCTAAGTGAGCAGAGGAAAACAGACACATAGGACACTCAGTACACCTTAAGGATGGTTTAAAGGGCAGTCTAAGCACTTAAAGGAATACTATAGTGTTAGGAATACAAAGCTGTATTGCTAACACTATAGTTCCCTCTGGTCCTCCCTCGCTCGCACCCCCGGCATGTTAAGGGTTAAAACCCTTTAGTTACTTAGCCATTTCTAGCCCCAATATCCCTCGGCGCTCCGCCTCATCCAACGGGGGGCCCTAATGCGCATCCCTCAATGCTTTGCTATGGGGATCTCCATGACGCTGGATGTCCTAATGCAGAGTGTGAGGAGTCCAGCGTCATTTACGGGATCTAGAGTCCATTGGCATCCAGCATCCGATTGACAGCCACTGGAGGAAGTTTTTGTCCTACAAGTTTCTCCAAAACTGCAATGATTTACATATCAGGACTAAGTGGGACAGGTATAGTGCACCTAGACCACTTGGATGAGATGAAGTGGTTTAGGTGACTATAGAGTCCCTTTAACCATTAAATGCTGTTGAAGTGGCTAAAGTGCTAGTAGGTTGCAGGATGCATCCCATAGTGCTGACTCAAAACTTTTTCAAGTGTCCATCCTATCATTGCTGTCCAAATGTGTGAAACAGTGATACAGTGATATTGCTAATGTGGAATGTCCAATATGACAAGAAAGGCTGAGAAGTAGTTGCCTTTGGGACCCCCAGTGCTTGCAGCCTACTGGCTCCATTAACATTACAATGACATGTAGTCTTAATGATGCATTGATTTCCCCTCTAACTGCATTTAACATACAGTCAAGGGGGATCCTAGGGTTGCTGCCTTTTGTCCTGCTCACAGTGGGAATGTTTAGCTCACAGTTAAACCCTGACATTGTCTATACTAGCTGCAAAAGTGCAACTTTGAAGATTTTTTGTACAAAGTTTTGTTAATGCACAATTTTTCATGTTAATGCGTCATATGCACTTGGAAAAAAAAGCATAAACTTCAACATGGTGTGACCCGTTAAGTTGTGCCAAATTGTGATTAAACCAAATTTTAATGACATGTGAATGATCACAATGATGGTGTTACTTATTTCATTCTTATCCATGTTAAATATGGACATTTCTTTGCATGTCTTACAACATAATCAGTCAAACTTGTAAACGTTTGTAAAAAAAGAAAAAAAACATTTCTCCCTCTTCTTTACGGTGACAGTCTGTTCCCTGTTCTAAATTACATTGCATGCTATTTTGCACCTATTTGTCTTATCATGTGAATAACTTTCATTTGTCTGGTCTCTTGGACCTCAAGTGGAACGCAAAATAAAGACCCTTCTCCAGATTCAAAGATGGAAAACGTTGTGTGTTTGTTGTAAATTGTATGCATGCAAAGTAAATGTTCCTGATTGGTTAGCGACTAAGAGACCCACAGCCCAGCATACATAGAACCGCTAACTAAGAGACCATATAAATGATACAATTAATCTATATGTGGTAGCTGAACTGACATGATAACTTCAAAATGCTCATTCAAACATCGTTTTACTGTGTGCTATAACTGCATCTCTGTATTGCAGATTCCTGATGTTTTTCAGAATATTGATTCGCTGGTGATCTTCTTTAATTCCAAGTACATCTCTGTGGAAGTTCCTTAATGAAGATACTTCTCTGCGACCTGGATTATGTATAGACCCCAGTAAGCCGTGTAACCATCTTTGTCTATTTATCTCTTCTATTGTCTTTCCTTTGTCATGCATTAGTTGAGCTTCGGCAACTGATCTCTCACTAAATTGGGTCAAAAAAGAATTGTAGTCATTAACATTCGTATAAAAAAACATGCACTATTAGAGTTATTCACTTATTTGCACATTTATGGCCAAAGGCAAATTTTAGGTCACAATATTTGATCTAGAGAGTTTTTCCAATTGGTCTTTTTAGTCTTACGATCTGCAATTCTTGAATATTCTCCTCGCATTACCGGTTTAGTGAATTACCATAATTTTTTATAGTAGAAAAAAATGTTTTAATGCATACATATATAAATCAGTCAGTCCTTGAGCCAGTGTTCTGCTAAACATTGATACTTTAAATTATCTTTTTTTAAATTTGATTTGGGCACTCGAGAGCAGTGGTTAGTTGCTGCACAAAGGCACGGTTGCAGAGAGAGACACCCAGGGGGAGATTATCCAAGTTTTGTGTTCTGAAAAATGGTGCAACGTTCCAAAAGTGGGACAATTTCCATGGAGGCCTGTAGAACCAGCAGGCACATTCATTGATAATTACTGCACTTTTACAACTTTGCACCACACTTTAGAGGTCTCTTTAGTACATCTCTGTAAAGCACCTTCTGCTTAAGAATGAGACTTAGTCCATAACATTCAGTTCTATCCCTTGTCGAGAACATAGATATGGAATATTTGTTTATTAGCAGTATAAAGTATACATATGAAGCATTTAATACTCAATGGATGTTGAGTGTGAAAGATAGCCCTAAGCTGCGGATATCCATGGTCCTGCAAGACTACAATATTATGGGGGAAACTTGAAGGCATCATTACTCTGTTGTAGAAAGGTCTGTAATGCAAGCTGTGGAAAACACACTCTCTTTTTTTTTAGCTTGCAGAATATTTGTAATGATAAGTAAACTACACATCATGGAGGAAGACATCCAGATGGACATCCAGAGTATGTACCTTTTAATTTTTTCAGAAATGTCATTATGCATTAATCAAGGGAGCAACTTTCAAACAATCCAGTGTCTCTTTAATATTGAAAATAAATATATACCTTGTAAACATAAATGTTTCAAATGCGTAGAAGTAATGCACCTTTCTTACCTTTCCTGGTTCTCAGATGCAATAATACAAGAAAAGCAGACAATTCCTAGGAAAGCCACCACGTGCAGATACTTCTGAGACAGCAACATCTCCTGCTTGCCTAAAAATTTCGACAATAAAGGGAGATAATGGGAGCCTTACAAGTGAATGTCTGCTGAAACCAAGGTGAGAGGCAAGTAAACATGCACACAATGTACATTACATTTTATTTGACTAATTTAAACTGATGAACAATTACTGTGGGTTAAACCATCTATTTGCTTCCTACCTCCCATGTGTGATTTACTCCTTTTTACATATAATTTTGATCTATGTATGTTTGCATTTCCTTCAAATAAATAAATAATAGGGGCTTTTTTTAAAATGTATTTTATTTTTTTATTTTTTTACATCTGACTTTGTATAACAATAATTCGTTTTCAGGGTGTGTAGTTCTCCTAGCTATTTGAATCATAAATGGATGATGTATTGTATGTATATTCTATGTTAATCTGGCCGTGTTACAGGCTAATTAGATGATAAATAAAATGTAAATGGCATTCTGTCATTTCCACTGGCAATGTTAGAACTCATCTTAGTATACTGAAAGCTAATGGGGTTGTCAAAGCATTTGTTACGGGTATAGTTGATTTGTAAATGAATAAGGGTATTGTCAACATTACCTAAACAATATGCTGTAGATAATTAATTTATAATTTTGGGCACTGATATAATTGGACACTAAAATAGCTGGTGATTAACTGTATGTATATATATATATATGTATATATATATATATATCACTCATTCAGAAAAAATACACAAACATGCGTCCACGCACATTTTTATCAACCAAAAACAGCTTGTGACAACCAAACAAGGTTCCGTAAGTCTTGAGAACGGTCTCTATCATACTTCTGGACTGCAAAAAAATTATGTTCAGCCGGGTATTTTTTGTTTTGATGGTCTAAGATTTGTTGATATGGCATTTCACCTCAGACAAACTTAATCAATGCAAACGGTTGGGAAAAAAACAAAGTGATTTGGATGAACCAAAAGGTGCGAAATTAAGCCAGTGTACTGCAAAATATATACATAATATAAATATGTGTATATATTACGCAGTATACTGACAGGCATAGTTTCTTGCCATTTAATACAATATAGTGAGATAAAGTATCAAATACAGGGGAAAAGGAGGAGCAGTAAAAAATAAATACATCTAAATTCATATATGATATATTTATTAAGTATATAACATATAAATATGGATTTTTTTCTGCTTCTCCTATATGTCCCTTTATTGATCACTGCTCACTTGATTTGTGAATAAAATCTACCATCAGTCATCTATTTTCCTTCTCCAGATCATGAATCAAACAAAATTGTTCATCCTTTGAATGATTCAGTTGTTTCATGATTCTGTCATATGTTGATTTGGAGTCACAGAATTTGGACAATTTTGGAGCCCAACATTTAGATGAATCACAATTTGAAAACCAAATACAAATGTCTGGTCTCTAATGAGTTTGACACATTTACTTGTCATGCAAGTTAAGAACGCTATTTAAATGTTCTGTGAGTGTTCTTTAGATTAATACTTGCATCTGCATATTTACCAATAAAATAGTGAATGCCATTATATAATTGTATATGTAAGCCAGCAAAGGTAATAAATCAGATATATTAGCCATCAAGCATTAATTTATCTTAACATTATTTTCTAAGATAAAAACTTTAATTATGGGAATATCCACATGTGGACAGATATCCTGTACAAACGTGCCATGTGCTGTGTTTATAAAACTGGTTAAACTTAGCAGAGGGTGACTCACAAATAACGATGTATGCAGGTACAGTGCGATAACAGGAATATAGAAAGCAATGTTTGTATATGTGATTATATCATCCATAATTTGTTGATACAATTGTAAAATAACAAGTCATGATGTACATTGTACAATATCTTATCTGTTGACTTAATGTTAGATCTAAAATATATTTACTTATTCAAAATGAATACTAAAACGCAACATGAAGTCATGCAAGATGCAACTCTAAATGAGCTCGTAGAGAATGCGTACAATAAAATAATCCAATATATTTATAATACGTATGATAGGTACCCCATGGCAGACAGTCCAGTCAGTCAACAAATTAAGGAGATTACATATTAATGTATCTTCTGTCTTGCAAATATTAAAAAAAACTATGTTTGTTTTGTTGATAAGGAGTCATTTCTATTTTGTAATGCTTCTCCTGTGCAGTTTTCTTTTCAACCCTCTTACTTTTTATTTTGAATGAAATAATAAAACGGTTACTAAGGGTGACGTGATAAAATGAAGACCAATTCACAGTTGCATTTTTGAAGTCTGAGTGCCTGTGTAAATTCATTTATATATAGTAATCGATTTGCTGGTTCTACTTATTACATGTGTATGATTCATAAAGCATTTGCAAATAAATACATATATTTATCTTTATATACAACAGGTTCTTAACATAATCGGAACATGTACATATTCATGTGAGGTTTTCATAAATTTTCAATAACCAATGTGACCCTATTATGAACGACTGAAGTATGATGAGAGAATTTAATCATTCTGTTGTACCTCAAGATGACGAGTAACTCAAACTAGATTTGATGAATAAATTCTGGTTAAAATGCTTTTGGGAGAGGACGGTTGCTAATAGTAATATAAAAAGATTACATAGCGCAGACCAATATCCAGAAACCTAATTTTATTTTCGCTACATTAGAGGCTGTATGTAATTAAAAATATGAATATGTGTCAGCATTTTGGTAGAGATGTGTTATGTAAAAGCTGGGGAATTATGTTTATTTTAATTATAATGAATTTCTCCCATTCTGTTTTTGATTTTCAGAAATATATTGTAATGATGTTTTCTATTCATCTCACCTGGTACTTTTTTTTTTTTTTTATTACTCTTGAAGCTTCATCACTTTAATATAAAACTGCAATGTCGTAGTTCTACCATTGCCAACAATATGGAAGATATACAATAATAATAATAAAGCATACTTACTAGATTTTGGTACACCAGGGTCTTGTCCCAGCGATAGGAAATCTGTTTCCCAGATAATCCTTTGACAAGTTTGAGTCTCCTGTGGAAAGGAATTCCCTCCTGCCTCTTATATACACACGCATGAGTCAAACTAACAAAGGAGCAGCAATTGTGACTAAGACACTTCATTCTCTAGAAGGAACAATTAAACCCTGTTTAGGCTATCCATCTATCTATCTATCTATCTATCTATCCATCCATCCGTCCAGCATCTTTCTGTCGTTTCTTTCTATGCGCTATGTGATGTCTGTTTTTATTTCCACTTCCCTTCTGTATATCTGGTGCTTTATTTAGCTTTTTAAAAAAAAAAAAAATCTAAATATGTATATGTCTCACTCTCCATGCTCACTTGTGTAAAAAACATTATATTCAGGGATATAATATTAAATATGCGGGTTCACTTTTCTAGATCCAAGGAGGAATCTGACTGCCATTCTGGAGTTGAGAAAGAATTTTCCTATAGTTTGTTGCAAAATTGAAAAGAACTTCAAACTGGGTTTTATGTCTTCCTCTCACAGATGACATAACATAAAACATGGACTTGGACGTGAGACATGAAGAGCTTTGTTCAAAAGTGAGATGAGAACTGCAGGTGTTTTGGCTGATACGTATCCTGATCCTTACCTTATTTCTGTTATGCACCCAGTGGCGAATTGGCCAGGGTGTCAGCTTGCCCTTAAACAACAATGTTAAAAAAATGGCCTTCTTTAACATGGCAGCTGGGCCAAATCACACAGCTGGAAGCCTGCACAAGCGCCCATGACGCTAGACTGAACAAGGTAGAACAACAAATCTCAGTTCTAACCCAATGGCAAACTACCACTACCGAAAGGCTTGACGCCATGGAAGACCAGAGGAGATGCTATAATCTAAAAATAAGGGGGATACCAGAAACGGTAGTTCTGGCGGACTTACCCCACGACATCAGGCGTTTCCTTGGGGTCCTGCTCCCACCAAAACAAATAAAGTCCATGAAACTGGATGGGATGTTCAGACTGCCGAAATCTCCACGAGCACCGGCGGCAGCGACAGCAGATCTCATAATGCGGTTTCAGACTCTGGCCGACAAGACCTCACTTTTGACCGCAATGAGGGGAAACCAACCCTGCTGTTTGAAGGGGCATCGCTAACAGTATTCCCAGACCTCACGAGGAGTACGTTGGCCTGGCGAAAAAATCTGCAACCCCTCTTGCAACACCTCTGGTCCAGAGAAATCCCCTACAGATGGGGCACTCCTCAAGCCATCTTGTTCACCCACGATGGGACTCTATACAAAGCGCAAGATAAACAAGAGCTTAAACACATCTGCAATCAACAGGCATATTGCAAGCAGCACCGGCAGCTCAACAGGGACTATCCCAGATTAACCCGGCTACCATCCGAGAATTTTCCCCACGGAATCCCTCCGGAGCTTCTCATGGCGGTTTACCCACCTAAGGAAGCAGAGGCCGATTAGCCCATGGGAACTCTTCTCTCCTTACCATTCCACCATAAACGCATATGGAGACTTTTGCAAAGTTAGAGTCTAACTCAAGTCAAGCGTACCAGGGACCACCTGGTCCGCCTAGAAACTACTACATTGTGTTTTTCTCCTCTTTTCCATTTTTCTATTTTTTCTATTTTTATCTTGTGGCTTTTTCCGATGTATGTGTGCACCCCCCCCCCTTTTTTTGTTTTTTTTGTTTTTTTTGTTTAAGTGTGACATAACTTGCTACTCACCCTATAGGACTCCACGAGACACAACCGACTAGCCTATACAATATAGGGTATTCAACCACCAAACGCTATGGTTACACTACAAACACCCACAATGGAGGCAGATGCATAACGCAAGGCATGCCACATAGCCACATATTCATACCACGTCTTACCAAGCCCCTCCCCCCCCGCGTTAGCTGACGCACAAAGAACCACGCTAATATACCCACACGGAATATCAGTACGGGGAAAAACCCTCTAGGGCAGATACATAGAATGCAACACTACATGCTACTCATACCCACAGAGGGCACAATGATGTTACCACTACTGTTGCGCACAAAGTTAAATGCATTATAAAAAGTGCA